CCGTGTCACAGGTTCACCAGCTGTCATGGAGCAACTTTCACCCAAGCGAGCGATTTCATGCTTTGTGCCTCATGTTTTGAATGACCTCCGCTACCGGGCACATTAAGAACGTATCACTGACCTCCAGAACACTTAGGCTGTTGGTAAAGCAGGAGCGTCTGATGACCCAGCACCTGGTTGCAATTTGAGAATAAGAGTGATATTTCTTGCGGTGGGAGGAGCAGCCGATTTAACGGAAGCTCCTGCAAGTAAGTCCTCCGAAGCCTGAATCTAAGTCAGAATGTCATGCTTTGTGCCGGTTGCTAGGGCTTCATGTCTTGGATGACCTCCCCTGTTGCTGACCTCAACGCTCAGGCCGTTGGCAAGGCGAAAAAGCAAAAAGGAGGATGATGTGGATGCGTCTCGATCGAGGTGTTGTTCATTCACTTTATTTGTTGCCAAGAGTCTGCTGTAGCTCATGAGAGGCAGCACGTGATGAGAGGCGGCGTCCCCAAATTTGCTGGGTGGGCTCTTGCGATTCATGAATGTTCAATGAGCATTGGGGGCCAAAGCGGCCTTTACAATCGATAGGACCCGATAGGGACCAAACATGGTTCGGATTGCGTGAAGGTACATAGATGACCACCAAATTTGATATACGTGTCTGATATTTCATCATATTTCATGACAAATACTTCTTAAGCCATCTATTCGCATGGATTTCGGGGACATGTCCTTCCTAAACGCGTGTTTTTTTCCTCCACCCATCCTTCAGGAGCTCAGGCAGCTTCCAGCTCAAAGACAGCTGAGAAGGTGCGAGATTGTTGTGGCAGGTTTGTTCTTCATGCCAAAGTTGATTGTCACTAAAAGCGAACCTGCTTCATTTCACAAGGAAAGGATCCAAAAAACACTTACTGTAGACTTAGTTATATATTCGAAGTGACAACATCAAGTTGCCCAATTTCGCAGGTTCTGGAGATGCATCATCATTGGCTCTCTTCAACAATAGGCCCTATTCACACGAATCTCAACCATTCCCAGCAATGCTCTTTCGGATTTTTGTGACCCTCGGCCAACCGGCCGCGTCACCCCAACCGAAAAGAAAAAGAGACTGCCTCCGCGCATCCGCATAGGTTGTCAGTGAAGGCGCCCACTGCGGGAATTTGGGGCATTTTGGGACCTCCAGGAGCAAAAGGCATCGCTACTAGGAGCAAGGACGCTACTAGGGGCTCCTGGCATCGCTACTAGGAGCAAGGACGCTACTAGGAGCTTTTTCATAGAGTCATTTTCTGTTGCCTCGTCTGCAGGGAGTGGGGGTGACATGTCAGTAACATCGAAGGACATGAAGTGGAGTCGGCAAGCACTACGCCCGGCGGGTCTTCACGTCCATCCCAAACCTGTGGCTGCAGAAGGCCTTGCTTAAACTATTTGATAGACGTTTGACCCTGGTTTGTTCTCAGGCGCGCATTATAAATCGAACAATGACCGAATTTGGGTTTCATGGGATCGTGTTTCATGCGATTTGCTCAAACAATCACATTAAAGGGTGTGTCAAGGGTGTTTTGAAGAAAGCCGGTGTGTTGTTATTTGTCACCCCCTCTACCTTAGGCCATTCCCCATGTCCAGGATTCGAGTCCAAGAATCGTCATGCATCATCACAATTCTTTTCCGGCACATTTTGTTCCATCTTGTTCTGGAGCTTTCACCAACTCAACTCTTATGCCGAGGGTCGCTCGGATCAACTTGTTACTTCAGCACGGGGATCCTCCCTATTTTGGGGAGGGCCACATGTCCAACGCCCAAACGCCTCCCACAGACTTCACTGTCTTTGTGGACGGCGTGCCGTACGTCGGGACCCCTCAGAGAGGACGGTGCCGATCAGGGAGGGACCTTTGTGCCTCCAGCAAATCCTGTGAAGATGTCTTTTTTGCCCGCTCCTACTTAATTAAGGGCAACTAGTTGGCTACTAGGAACTTGTTATATAGCTTCTAGCAACTGGACGCAGGATAGCTCATGCTTCTTCAAGGAAGTTGCCCCCGCCTGAGGGCGGGGGTCTGAGGGCCGTCTGAGGGCCGTCTTTCGGGCCCAAGGGCTTCTGCCTTCAGGCAGCGCCTTTTTCAGAGTTTCATCGAAGTGCTCCTCTCCGTTAGCCACCCAGCTGCGTCCACCACACCGCACCCCAGCGCCGTAACACGGTGCTCTTCACACGGCTGAGGACTGGTCCATCGAGCGGGTCACCGAGTTCTTCTCAAAGTGTGGCCGGGGGCGCAACTCGGGGGCGCCCGAGTTCTTCATGGTTTTGGCGGTCCAAGTGGTCCAAGATCTCTGGATCGCAGATGAGGCAATCAGCCACATAAGGATGACCAAAGAATCATTAAAGGAACAAATCAAATCTGCTTGGAAATTGGAAAGGACTTCAAGCAGTGTTATTGGGTTCCCGTTCCCTGCACGGTGGCCGACAGCGTTTTTGCCGTCGGTGTTTGCAAGTCGTCGCTGGTCTTCAAGCCTGCCCCTACATGCCCCCACCACTCCAAAGGTGTTTCCTTGGCTTCTGCGGTTTCCCTCAGCCAGCCAATGCTGCTGACCCTCCAAAAGCAGCCGTGGCGGCCCTCTGGGGTTGTATATGCCAGGGGGTGATCCACCAAAACTAAAAATTGTCATGCCGTGACGAGTCCCACTACAAAGTTGCTTCATGTCTTCTCATAGTTGTGCACAGCCAATTCAATCATGAGCAGCAAGATTTAGGCAGGTACTCGCCGCCGTCATGTGGGAATGCCCAGCATCACTGCAGTAGTGCCCCATAACAATGCAGATGAAACCCCTTTTACTGCTGAAGAATTGGATTGGTCACTTAGAACCTGGCCCGGACGAACTACAAATGGAATTGCTGAAATGGCTAAATCATGACAACCGTAAGATTTTGTTGACAATGATAAATACATGGTGGGGCCAGAGGGTTGCCCCGGATGCGTTATTTAAGGCTAGAGTGGTACCTATTTTCAAAACGGGAGAAACATACAACGCCGCAAACTACCGGCCAATTTCCTTATTAAGCAGCATCTACAAGTTGTACTGTACATGATCATGATCCGACAGCGAATGCAGAAAGCTCTGGAAAGTAGTTTATGTCCCACACAATTTGGGTTCCGCCCCCAAAAGTCCACTTCACACGCTATTTATGTTATTCGCAGAATTCAAGACTTTGCAGAAATAAAGGGAACAAAATTGAGCATGGCTATGCTTGATTGGGAAAAAGCTTTCGATAAAATCCAACATGATAAACTCATAATAGCATTGGAGAGAATGGGCTTTAGCCACCACTACTGCGAAGTAAGAAGGGATTGTTATTCCAAACCCACCTTTTATATAAAAGATTTGTTTGGCACGTCTGACTATGAGATAAACATCGGGGATTCGGCAAGGTTGCCCCGTATCCCCGTATTTGTTCATCTTAGTAATGAATTGTATTGATCATGACATCAGGACGTCCCTCAGTAATAGAGTTCTGAACAATCGCATTCCTGGTTTGGCATTTGATATGGTATACTATGCTGACGACACCATACGGACCATACTCTTCTCAACGGACAACCGAGCCCTGAATGAACGTTTGAAGTTGACGGAAACAATCTCTGCAAAAGACGGCTTCAAACTAAGCAAGGAAAAGTGTGTGGCGATACGAATGAACAACGAAGGCCAAGTCCATTTTGATAACCGCGAACCGCTCCCCAAAAAGTTCAAGGCGTCATATCCAGGAAATGAAATCAACCGTGAAGTTAACATAAAACATGAAGTATTGAACAAAATGCAAGAGGTTAGAAGTATGGCGCCGTACTGGAAAGCATCATTTGCCAGTCAGAAGTGGAAATTCATCATATTTGATGCAGTGATACGATCCAAATTATTCTACGGACTTGAGCAGTACTTTTGACCTCTGCTTTATTGAAGAAAATTGATGCGTTCCAGCTGCGTGGCCTGAGAAAAATTCTCGGGCTAGCGCCTACTTTCATCGATAGAGCCAACACTAACAGAGCTGTGATACAGAGAGCATCTCACATTGCCTTTCCGAATGATGATCGTTGTCTCAAACTTTTTAGTGTTTATTACAACAACAAAAGAGCAAGTCTTTTAGGGCATATTATCCGTGCACCGGACTCAGATCCTTTACGGCAGGTATCGCTCCAACCGAATTCTGCTTTTAGGATGCAATAAATATGGCAAGAAAGGCAGGGAAAACTCGCCGCCATCAACCCATCACAGGCCTCCAAAGACTGCCACATGTTCTTGGTCGTAGCGGTGGCCGAAGCTGGCCATAAATAGTAAAGCAAATTGTGAACCATCAAAAGCTACTCTTAAAAAACATAAAAGAAACAACTAAACGCAGTTATATATGTGTGTGTGTGTACTCTGAATGGGCTTTCTGAAGCAAACCGATCCGCCAGGCCCTGTGCGGGAGGTCCGCGCGCCCACCTGGCAGGACTCGGGGCGCCTGCGTGGGGGGCGCCCGGGTGGGACCGGAGAGCGGGAGAGTGGTTGGGCTGGTGGAAGATCCAGGAGGTGCTGCGCATGTAGAAGAAATACATATAGAAGTATACTCGAAGTATATATCTCAAGTAGTTATATTGAGTTATGTATCATATCGTCATATATCTTCTATTATGTGACGGCAAGGTTTGGGGATGTTGTTGAAAACAATTCTTTTGCCAAACTACTATCAGGGTTGAGAGGCGTTCCTCGTAACTTCCAGCGTTCCAGCCGTCGAAGCCCACATTTCATCACATTTTTTGTTTGAGACAAGTCACTCCTATACTACAAGTGCCCGGATGCAACAATTTTTTGAACATGCGCTCTGACTAGTAGTGTTCCAATATGCCGGCTCCTCGGGTTGAAGGGCCCCCGTGCCACGTTTGTACAGTTGACGTTCGGGCATGTGGACAGACCTGGAGCATGTCTTCAACACACACGGCGGGAGAGGCATCTATTACGCCTGGGCGGGTTCATTCGGACAGTAGTAGCTCTCGAACTTGGATCCACCCCACCGCCATGCTGCCTGAGCCCGGACACGCGGGGCTCAGGCGGCTACGCGCATGTGGCCTTTGAGGGAGCTGCTGGGAAGGAGAAAGCCTTGAAGCTGGATAAGGCCAAGGTCGGAAAGAAGGCGAAATCTCTGAAGCTGGCAGGGTTGGATCCGTGGATCCATCGGGGCCTTGCGCAAAGGGTGCAGATGAAGATCAGGTACCAGCACCGAACCCAACAGGTCTCCGAAATGGAGGGTTGTTAGGCCCTAACAGGTTTCAATTGGTGACCTGTTGGAGGTGCTGATAGAGAAGTTCGGTTTCATCTTGGGTTGGGACTTGTCTCACAGTGCTCATGCCACGGCTTCTCCGTGGCACTCTGTGGTGAGGCTCATTTATAAAGGGGACTGGCGACCAATGTTGAAGAACGGAGCTTCGTCGTCGTGTGAAGCAAGTGGCCGAAGTGGCCGTGGATGTAACACGAGAGCCGCCTCCCAACTTGTTTTTTGTAATCGCAAACTGGAGGGGTGCCCTGAAAGAGGTGGTTTCCAATATCATCAAATATCTTAATGTACCTAGAGCAGGCTCAAGTCCAAACGCAATCTTTTTGCAATCTTTCGTCATCCTCAAAAGTCTAACCCGTTTTGCACCCTTCGGCGCTCGCCTCGCCGCTCGCCTCACCACGCGCGGATTCAGGGGCGCTACCTGAAGATCGAACCGGCCAAGAAGCCCAACGAAGGCACTCGATTTGATCAGTTCGTCTGGGGTGGATAGTTTTCATGGCAATTGAAGGGGTAGCGACCTCTGTGCCCGCAAGAAGTTGACCCCTCCTCACAACAAAGATGAAACTTCCTCACAAAGCACGAAGTGGCTTGGAGCCCACTCTGATAGCAAGGTGTTGGCTTTCTTGGGCTCCAGCGGGTGGATGATTTTCTCGAAATGGGTTCGGATGGGGATGGTGTCCAGCGATTCGGACGAAGCGTGAGTGAACTGAACGTCACTGGAATGTCTTTTTTTGCGGTGATTGATTGGCCTGTGACATCCATGTGGCTCAAGAACAAGGTCCCTCTAAACTCTCAAACCGACTGTAGCCCCTTTGACCCAACTGAAGGCCTCACCAAGCTGACAGTTTATGCGATTTGGCCTCTGCTTCGCATGCATTCGCCTGCGCCGCCTGTGCCGAAAACCGTGTCGATGCGCCACTCGATGAGGCAAAGCGGCAGCCGGAGACATCGAAGGGAAGCGCCACTCGGGCACTGAAGCGCCTCATGTGGCGGGGAAGTTGAGGAAGTTGGGGAAATTGGGAATATGGGCGGCTCAGGGCACAGGGAATGCAAAGGGGTCCCCATTCTTTTTCCGAGGGTTTTGGGCTGGTGGCAGTGCAACTTGTTTTTTGCTGGGGTGATGGCTTTTGGGCGGTAGAGGGTTTATGAGGGTTCCGTTCCTTTGCAGTGGAAATGCAGATGAGGGACGTATTGGTGGTTAGGCACTTCAAAGCTGTAAAGCTTCAGGATGTCGAACCTGATGCAGGCAGAGAACCACCTCGTTTTGGACCGGGAGAGATTAACCTCGTTTTGGAACGCGCTGCATCCATATTCTTGTCTCCTGCGTTGGTTCTTTTGTTTTTTTGGGGGGCATGTGTTCCAAATTTGAGTCTAATCATGTGTTCCAAAATGAGTCGTTTGCCATCCGGAGAAGCACACTCTTTTCGGGGTCGCAGGCCTTTGAAATGGTTGAACAGGTATGTTGATTTTGATGGCGTTGCACAAGCTTTAGGAGTAGGTAGATAGCACCTTGTTTGTTTGCTTCTTCAATTCTCCCACGCAACCGCCACAGACCATGCAAACGATGGCCGAGTGTTAGTCGCTTTGCCGGAAGACATCCACAAGAAATCACATAGAAGGCGATGCTGCTTGCCAGACTTGTTACCCTTTCCAATGCATTATAATTGTATTCTACATTTTTGTAATCTAGGCAAATTCTCAAAGTAACTTAGGACCTGACTTCAGTACTTCAGGCCATTGGCAGCTAATAAGGCTTCCAGTGCCGGAGGCACCAGGCACCGCGCAAAGGGGCAAAGGTTCATAGGGTTCACGTAAATCCAGTTTTGCATGGCTAAGGACGTTTGTTTGTGAAGAACCTTCCCTATGATGCTGCTGAAGATGATATTGCCAAGCTGTTCTCCAAGTGCGGAAAGGCCCGCACGTGATCGCCATAGGGGCAGATGTCAAAAGAGAGTGGGGGCGTGTGGAGCCTTCAGAGGAACTGTGAGAAGGAGAATTGCATTATACTGTATAGCATTTTACCCTGCCATTCCATCTACCCTTTTGAGGAGTTTTTGTACCACATGGTTGTGCATGATTTCTACATCAACGACTCTTCACCAGCGAAAGGTGCTGGAGATTCGCATCCCCCACACCTCTGGGAGGAGCAAGGCATGGTGTGGGAGTTGTTCGGCGAGACTGCGCAACAGTTTGGGATGATCTCATGGTTTGTTTTTTTTCCAAACTCTGCCCGTCGTCTCCGATCAGAGTTTGGAAGATCCTTTTCCTTCTCTCAGCAGAGGCAGTGGAAGATGGGATTTTTCACATTTTGGGATTAGAGATAGCCCTTGGGTCGTGAAATGGGTACGATGTGTGTCCTCTCGCGCGGGGCGTTCGGAAGGCAACATGTGCTAACTTGAGATGTGGAGTTTTTAGCCAAGGAGCCACACAAAAGAAGGAACAGAGCGGCAAACCGTGACAGTTTGGAACTGCTTTCTGGTTTGGCCAAGCATCTAATGGATGGCATTGCTTTGAACACCTTACACTGACATGGTTTGAAAGGACCTTGAGCAGCACACTGATTTAGGGAGTTTCCTGCAGTGGTTGTAAGATCTATAGGTACTATAGGTCCCAACATCGTTTACGAGTGCAAGGCCAATTTGTGTTTTTTTGAAAAACGATGGTTCTTCTTCGCCCGAAGCTATGGTAGTGGACCCTTTCCAATCCTTTCCCAGAACACGCCCCTTTGAGCCCGGCCGAAGTTTTTGCAGGGCTTCGCCTACGTGGAGTTCGCAAAGGCTCAGGCTAAGTGGATTGGATCTCTTCAGTTCGCAGACCTTTGCTGGTGCCACCTGAGGGGGGGGGTACAAGATGTCGCAAGAGACGTCTTCATTTGAGCAAGACGTGATTGGTTGATACTGGTTGCCCTAATTTACAGGGATGGCTGCCTTTTTCTTTAATCTCCCACGAAGAGAAGGCTCTTCGGGTTCAGAGACCCCGAAGAGAGATTTTTTTGACAATGCTTTGCAAAGAGAGTGTTCGATCGCACGATCACAGCCAATGCCTCCCGAAGCAACCTGAGAATTTTATGTGTCACTCCCGTTGGGCCCTGGATCCAGGGCCTACGAACGGCGATGGAACTGGATCCAGCTCCCTCGTGCCAAGCTGAGGGGTCGGAAGAGTAGAGGGTGGTCAACCAATGCTCCTGGAGTAGACTCGTAGATTGTTCTGCTCTCAACGTTTGAAGCACTCTAGGAAACTGGACGCCGCTTGTCAAACACAATTTGGCCAAATCTAGCTCCACCTTTCATGATTGCGCCCCCAACCCTGTCGTTCAAACTGACGGGGTCCGGAACTTGGGGGCATTCCCTGCTGAAATGGCTGGCAGGCTCCAGGGTCGCAAGCTTTTACTGGATGCTGATGTGGGTTCTGGGCCCGCTGAACCTGGAGGGCTGAATGTGGGCCTGGGAATTGGAGAACGACACAGGAATCTAGGATCATCAAAAGCTGCATGCTTTGTCATGGAAATTGCTAGCTGCTAATTCTATGCGTCTCGGGCTTCTAATTCCCACAGATCACGGTTCCCAAAGGCAAAAGGGCCTGAGAAGCCATAGATTTGTCAATCTCAACGTCCTTCATTCATGGCCTCCGTGACCGGCTCCTTGAAAAAGGAGACCGTTTGATGGCAACATCAGCTACATCGGACAACCATGAGGTTTACAACATTGTTTTGAATGCATTGCTGGTAGGTTGGAGGCCATGGCTTCTAGGTTGGAGGCCATCACTAGCAGGGTGGAGGCCATTGCTATTAGGTTCTTGCTTCAGTAGCAGGGAATGGTTTTCCGACTTGGATGGTGTCCAGGGCATGGATGTGGTGGGGGGTTCCGAGCATGTTAGAGAACCACCCTGGCGAGTATATTCACAAGCAGCTGATTGGTGGTGTGGCTTGTCCACGAGTATAATATATAGCCATATGTATTATATATAGATACTAAATACATACAAACACGGATATACATATATATATATAATAGTATGTATTGAATCACTGAATCCAAGTAATTATCATTGGAGCTATCCGGCTGGCTGTGACGCCAACTATTTCAGAATCAGATTCACAACCACAACCACAGATTGTTAGGATTTCAGTGCAGCAGGTCTTGGATTAAAGCCTTTTGAGTGGGTGGGGGTTTATTTGTGGCGGCTCCGCGCCCAAGCTGTTCTTGTTGCAGGTGAGGACTCGGAACCAGCATTGCAAATTCAGGATGGACCAACGATCACACGTGGACACGCTTTTCATGGCATGTTACATCGGAAGTATTTTTAGCATTTTTTTCGTTGATGGAAGTTTATGCACCACAAGTACCACAACAGTGACTATTTAGTTATAGTGAGCTATAGTGAGCTCTAGTCTAAATAGATCGAACAAGCATGTCCCGTTTCCATCTCCTTAGGGAGTTCAATACCAGTCTTAGCTTTAACCTACTCTTTCTGTTGCTTACCGCATGTTGAAGTGCCTTGCAGAGTCTTTTTAGATCCTTCGCCGCCCTAGTGATTGCTGGGCGATGGCTTAGGCCGAAAGCTGGCTTTCATCACCGCCCCGATGCCTGGGCACACAGCCTGGCTGGGAATGGTCTCACCCTTATGAGGAGGGGATTTTGAGGAGACGACTTCCTCCATGCTTTATGAATGTTAGTTCAGGAATCAGACATCTGGGGCTTCTCAAAGAAAAAAGGGTGGCATGGTGGAGTTTAGAGGATGTTCAAGGTTCTTGTTTCTTGAGATGTTTTCTTCTTGTAGGATTTGGTATGCCTGGTATGCCTGGTTTGTGGTATTGCACCCACTGACACAAACCATCGGGTCTGTTTGGAACCCAGTGAATGGGATGAGCCTTTCATTCCCGGCGGCCAACAGTAATACAGTACTTCATATATAGACTCTTGATTAATAACCCCCTCATTGGGATTAACACCTCTTATCACCTCTTCGTATGGGGGTTTTATTGATCAATCGTCTGCATTATTCTGGTCAAGGTCCCTCCCCACAATGTTTTTCTGGAATATGCTACAAGCCGACACGTATGGGAAAGGGAATGATACTTGGGCATGCTCCGTTTTGATCCGTTGAACTCGACGTTCTCTGTCGCCGCTGACCGACGACCGACCCAGAGAGGCACCGGTTGATGTCCACTCGCCATGCTGCGAGTGGTGTCCTTCACCAGTGATCCCATCCTGGAAGTGGAGATCTCAAACGAGATCCTGGAGACTTTGTCCACCGAAACCTTAGCTTCCTTCATCAAGAGACGGGTGTCTCAGCGACGGAGGGTGTCCATCTTCCGTCAACGTCTGCTGTGTGGAGAGCACATCATCGCGGATGGCGAGATGTGGGAGGAACTTGGAAGACCCTGTGAGATTCAGATCATGTTTGCACACTATGTGAATGACTACGCTGACGACCTGTTCACCGCGTCGATGGCCGGCGACGAGGCCACCGCGCGGCAGGTGCTACGACAGCTGCAGGATCCCAACGTCCTGGATTCCGAGCAGCAGTCGCCCCTGTGGAAAGCTTCCGCGGCGGGTCATGCCGGTTTGGTACAGCTGCTGTGCCAGGCAGATGCGGATTTAGAGAGCCGTGATCAACATAGCAAGACGCCCTTGACGGTCGCTGCGGAGGCGAACCACTTGGAAGTGGCGAGATGTTTGGTGGATGCGAGGGCGGACGTTGCCTGGGCTTGCTTAAGGAGGAGATAGGAGGAGTGATGAGTGGGTTCGACTTTGGTGCCTTTCTGTCGGGAACCCCCTTACTCATGAAGCTACTAGTAGTTCGAAGCTACTAGGTGGAGGCATGCGGAGGCCATCGCAAGTAGGTTGGAGGCTACTCATAGGGATGTTTCGTCAATTGTTCTGCCATTGTGCCGATCCCCGCAAATCAGATGCAACTTCTAAGGTTGATGCCTTAGACGAAGACTTCCTCACACCCCTGCTTTGGGCCACGGAGAGTGGGCATTTACAGGTGATGAGGCTGCTGATTGAAGCCAAAGCTTCCAAGGATGCCACAAACAAGAGGCAGGAGACACCGCTCTTTATGGTTGCCACCAATGGCTATGCGACAGGTGTTCGGGTGCTGACGGATGCCGGGGCTGACATGGAGAAGGCTGATGAGAGCGGCTACACCCCGCTCCACAGCGCCGCAGAGAATGGACATCTAGAAGCGGTTCACGTGCTGATTGATGCAGGAGCCAGGGTTGATCTTAACCTAATAGCGATGGCCTCCACCTAGTAGCGATGATAGCAATGACCTCCGACCTAGTAGGGATGGCCTCCAACCTAGTAGCGATGGCCTCCCAGGCTTGATCCCCCAAAAAAGAGATTCCAACCTTTGCAGAACCATGGCGGAACATGACATCGGGGGCAGAAGTTCAACCTCAAGGAGACATGACCTGTGACGTCGTTGGACGTAGCGATGTTGACACCGTTGGACGGACATACTCTTTGCATCGAACAGACCCGAAGTCCGCCCCGCAATCCGCACCCCCAAGGTCCCATCTTGACTCCTTTTACCACTCCGAGGCGCTTGCATCAACAGTAGCGCCCAAAGCGGGGCGAGCCCGCTCTACGTGGCTGCCTCGCGTGGGCACCTGAGATTGGTCAGCCTGCTGGTGGAATGCCGGGCAGATAAAGACCAAGCGGCCGAAGGCATCACGCCACTCTTTGCAGCGGCCTTTGCCGGGCGTTTCGACGTGGCGCGGTTCCTGGTGCAACAGGGAGCGGACAGGAACCAGCGGCCGGGGCGTCATGTGAACCTCCAGAGTCTCTGGCACGAGGTGTAGAGGTGTCATGGGCCAATGAGTCGGACGGCTCAGCCTCCGTGTGTTAGTTCGTCGAGACGAGGGCGCGTACTCGAGCGAGTGTGAGTCGCCTCAAACACGCGAGGCCAAAAGGTTTCTCTGCAAGCAGCGTCTCCAAGCGTTCTCCAAACTCCTGGAATAGTCATGGAAGTGAAATGCCATGGCTTTTTGGATGACTATTTTCCTCTGCAAACAGGTGGGTCATGATGAGTCCAGGAAGTGGCCAGGCCTTCGCTTGTCATGATGTGAAATGGAACGTCGGCGGTTCTCCTGTCCTCGGTTCTTTGTTTTGCTTGGCCCTTTTCCAACACAGCCAGGGAGAGATTCTACCCGTTGACGTGGGGTGTCTTTCCTAGAGGGCTTTCAGAAAGTGGCTGCTTTGGACCGTTGTGACCGATATTGGAGGGGTGGTCCACTACAGTGGCCATCAGATGGAGGTGGATCTCCAGATGGAGGTGGTTTATGTAGACCTCCAGTGCCATCTGATATATACGGATCATCTACTGTAATTGCTTCTGGGTGATGAGCCGCGCGAGCGCGCCGTGATGAGCCGCCTAGATCACCAGGAAAGCTCCTGTAGGCCAAAAACCGTCTTTGTTGGAGTAGCGCTATCATGCGATCAGCATCTATCAACATCTATCAACCATCCTCGGTGCACTGGAGTGTCCCAAAGGGTTTCGGTCCAGTTATTTTTCTTTAGCCAGTGGGTGACCAGATGGTGCCATTGCAGCCATGGTCGGGCAGGTTTCTTCAATTCTCGTGCTGTTCCAATTTCCGCAAAACACCACTGCATCACATGTTTCTTTACTGGCCGCTGCTGACCATCCATAGGCTTAGGCATTGCCACTACTGAGTCCAAACGGATCTCAGCTGTTGTTGTTGTTGTTGTTGTTCTGAAGCCGTAGAGTTGGGTCTGGTGACGGGCTGCCAGTTCTAGTGAGCACACCTCAGAACTTGACAGAACTGGCTCAAATCTGAACCATCTTCTTTTTCCGGCGACCTTTCCTACACAAAACATTTAAGTTTTTTGAGGCCAGATTCCAGGAGTGTGGAAGAGAGGCCTTGCCCTCCGAGTCTGTATCCTGTTGCCCCAGCTCGCTTGAAAAAAGCACTTCACGTGAGCCCGCTCCAGTGAAAATGCCCAAGGCCTTTCAGTCGAATTTCGGCCCCAAGAAGAAGGCGCGGCAACGCACAGGGGCATCACGGGCGCAATGGGGCTACGGCGTGAGGGTGATTGGGTCAATGCCGTGCAGCGGCGCAGCGCAATTCGCCACGTCTTTCAACACCTTTCAGAGATGGACCAAACGAAGCCGGTGGAATAGCCCTAATCAACTGGGCCGGATGAAATCAGCCAAGGCCAGTCGTGTTCTTAAGACCTCCCAAAGGGTGGATGGATCAGCAGCTTAGCATAGCACCAGGCATAGCACCAGGCCACCTGGGGCCGAGCTTGTGACAACACGGCGATTCCTGGAGCCTGTTCGGGTTCCGGTTCCTGGGGTAGATGTCGGGCAGGAAACGTCACATCGAAAGCAATTCAGTCACTGTTTCCTCTATAACATACTAATAACTTATAATTAAATATTACTAATATATTTAGGTATGTAACTGTATGTACTGTTGCTCGGGCCCCAGCATGTCCCGGCCTCACCAGCGAAAGAACCTGGAAGAGGTACAGCATCATCAAGACCAAGACCCGTGGATTCTCAAAGTCTTTGATTAGATCCCTCGACCGAGTCGATGAACTTCGCAAGGGCCAGGGCAAAGGTGGCAGAGGTGGCAGAGGTGGCAGAGGTCGAGGAAAGCTGGGAGCCTCAAGGAGAGGCGTGTGACGGCCGATGTCGGGTGCATTTCAGCGGCTTCCGAGGGCGTAGCAGTGACTGCATAGAGCATCATTTTCAAAACCCTCAGTGCAGCTTGACCTGGTGGGCAGGTCCACGTCATGTCACCGTCACGTCCCTAAAGCATCCTAAAGCTGGTTTATCAGTTGATCATCCAGGCGACATGAGGGAGAAGACTTCCCTAGCCAGTCACTGGAGAACCACGGATCAACCTGCAAAACCTTTTTCGGGGGATGGTCCATCCCAATCAAGCAGGTGGACTGGTGGAAGCCGGCAGCCGGGGCAGAAGACGGAGACTCCAAAGACTGGTGAAACATGCCACTAACGATGACGATGTAACAAGGGCATCGCTACCAGTAGCTTCTATTAGCCTCTTGTTATTACTAGTAGTAATGTGCTTGTTAGTCAAGTAGCGATGCACTTGTTACTAGCACGAAGCTACTAGTGGATGAAGCCTGCTTAGTTGAGAAGACGTCCTTCTCCGCCGGATCGCCCGGTCAGAAAATGCAAACAACGTGCGCGTGCCTTCGGTTGCGCCTTCTGGGAGGTTTGGGATCATAGAAGCACAAAAAAGAAACTGTTCAGTACCAGCACCCTCCAACAGGTCTCCTCTGGTGGCTTTTGGAGACTTCAAAGTCGCAGGTGGTAACCTGTTGGAAGGTCCTGGTACAGGTTCTTATACTTTTGGTATCCTTCTCCAACTTTGAACATGGAGGACGTGCCTATTCTTCATAAGGACCTTAGGACCTTCTCACCATCCACAGGGCAACCTCTTCGACTGCACGTATTCCTCTGGCTTCAGTATATGGCTTTGGTGCAAAGAACCCTGCTGACATAGCCTACCATGTAGCTCAGGCACAGTTGGAAGCGAATGGAATCAGGGGTCAACGTGGTTTGGTTCCCTTGCCACCTCATGCCACCTCATCATGCCGGTCCAGCGCAACCAGCGCAACCTCGCTGAGGCCGTCGCTCTTCTGAGGCGACACGCTCTGATTTCCAGGTCCGCTTTCTGGTCAAATTGGTGTGCAAAATCGGTGCGCAGCTGCTGGCTGAATGGTGTTTTTATTTATTTATATTCCTTTGTGTGAAGCGCAACGGGCACACACTTGCAAATACACAAGTTGCATGTGTCAAGCAATTGTTGATTTGTGCCTCGGGCGGATGTCCTTTTCATGAGATCGGACTGGCTAAGGGGAGTGCACCATGCGATGGCATAACTACCGTGATTTGGTAGCCTTTCATAACACGATCAGTTGATATGGATACTTTACCCGCCCTACTTGACAAGCAGCACAAGAGTTCCAATCCTCATTGGACTCATTGGTCATCTCGACATCATCAAAGGAGGTTCCAACCTCCTTCCTTCCCCTCTCATGAGTTAAACCGTCCGCATTGGCTGCAGTTCAACCGCCAGGACCCCTTGGACCCCTAACATGGCCCAAGAGCAGCGGCACCGAGTCTGGAAGCACCGGAAACGCCATGTCGTTGGCGGAACAAGAGGGCAGTGCAACGAGTCAGCCATGTGGACTAAGCACGTCCTCTTGACATATAAAAACCAAATCTGAAGAACCAACTGATCATTTGACATGTTTATACCTGTTTGGTCTTAGTACATTGTCACACTTGCTCACTTGCTGTGGTTCTACAGGAAGGTAGGCTAGCACAGGTCAGCAGATCAGGCACCCAGCAGATCAGGCGCATGATCCATTTCAAGGAGCCAGGGTCAGCGGGCGAAGCTCTGTGAGATTCCTCGCCGAACAGCAAAGCTCTGCGTAATTCAATGCAATTAGAGCTGGCCATGCTATGGTGAGCTCCTGTGCATGCCTCAGATCTCCAGTCTGGTTTTGACATTGGCAATTCAATTACTGTTGTGATTCACCAAGTTCTGCCCACACACCGCCCAAGCTGCATAGCTACGAGCACAGCTACCAGACATGGGGGCACGCACCGGGGCAACCGGCTCTTAAGGGCTCCAGCTATTCACACGCACTC